TTCTCCGTTTTCTCCTTAGTTTTTGTTTCGATTGAGGAGATTTATCAAACACCCAAGACAGTAAATTACCACATTTCCAAAAGCCCCGAAGTTCGTTAAAAATACCTCGATACGCCTCGTATTTTCAACTCTCTCCTCGGTGTTTGGAAATGAGATGAAACGCTGTCGATCGTATTTGATGTATAATTAATACCTGAACTTCATGTTAGTCGATATTACCAATCCTTTCTCCTGCTGATTAATTTCAATCGTCTGCAATCGTTCATAGGCTTACCAAAGTATGCTTTTGAAATTTTCTAAATTAAAAAGTTTAGCAAAGAAATTTTATTTTTTATAAAAATGAAAATTTCATAGAAATTTTGGTTGTTGGAATTCATGTTATTGGTATTGGTAAAACTTCAATGGCTTTCACAGAATTGAAACAAGGAGAAAACTAAATTAAATTATATAAGCCATGCCAAAACGTGCAATTGTTTTCATGTTTTGTTAATTTACAACCTAAAGGAACTTTCATGCGGTAACGAAAGATTAAGCGGTAACGTTTCTCGTTTAGTCATCGTCAAATATCCGAATAAATTCTTCCAAATGTAAAGTTGACATTTTCTGGAGATAATGGTCGTTTGTAAAGCCTACCCTTTGAGAATTGCTCTGACTAGAGTCTGAACAACATAAGACATTAAGATTATTTGTTCTTAAACTGCTCTTCTGGTATGGCCTTTTGGAAGACAGTTTCAAAACTGGTGGATTAATAAAACGGAACAGCAAATAATATTATCAAATAGTAGGATTCTATTCGGGATTTTCGACAAAACTTAATACAGATATTTTTTGAACTACGGCTTCTAATCGCAAAAATTTCCACTCTTGATTATACTGCTCCTGATACTGCAGTTGCCTACAAGACCAAAACCTTTCTTTGAATAGTTTTCTCGTACGTCCAGAGGAAGAAGTAAATATACCAAAAGAAATAGTATTTTTAAATGCTCATGGTTTGTTTTTTAAAAAACAAGTCTGATATAGCTTTCAAAAATACTTTTCAAATTGCATTTATGACGTGTTTTTTGTTTTGTGTTGCTATGTAAACGAAGTAAGTAGCGTTGATGTTTGTAATTGTTAGTAATTAGCATACCGTACTGTATGTAGCTGGTGCAGCGTAGCAGTGCTGCCTTTTGTATGCAACATTAAGAGAAATGGAAACAACCTAAACACCTACAAACTGTATTGCTTTAGCTATGTACAAAATGTAATAAGTGTTGACAGCTTTGGTGTTAGAAATTAGTATACCGTGTTGAAAGGAGCCGTACGGTATTGTAAGTAGCAAAAAAAAAAAAAAAGTATTGTAAGTAGCGATTATCTGTACAGTTTAAGATGATTTCCGCAGAACATTCGAGCAATAATGGCAAAAATTAAGTTACCGAAAAAACCTCATGGCATGGTAATATTTTGAATACAGATAAGAAGAACCTATTGAGACCTACGCTCTCAAGTTGACTCCGCGAGAGAAAATTGAACTTGAAGTCTTATCCATATTTCAATTAAAACAGACGTTTCGCGTTAGTTAGAAACACAATAACACACGCTTTGAACATTCTTACGAGGTTTGACATTAACTTTCTCGAGAATGCCTGAGAATTTAATCGCGGGGTCCCCTAGAGAAATGAACTAAAGTGAGTTTTTTAAATAGTATTCTAAAAGTTACCGTGCTGAGAGTAGATTTTTAGTAAAAATTTTTTTGCACTTATTGCTCGAACTTTGAGCGGAATCCGTCTTAATTGCAAAAACTGAGCTAAGGTTCGTAAAAACTTTGCAAAGCGTTAATCGACGGTTTCTGACAAATTTGACGGATTTTTATCATAATTAAGTAACATGAATCGCTGAGAGCAAATAAGACACTTCTCTTAAACAGGTGGTTTTGATAAGCCCATGCCAAATTTGCCAAACAGCTGTCAGTCGTTGCTTGTAATCAGTTTTGTCAAACGAAAATTAATTAAATTCATGTTTTATCCTCTTTGGCAAAAATCATTCCCAGGACTCTCCCTTCTCGGTTCTATACGGAGGGGCGGCCGAACACAGTTTTCGCGCGCGCTTTTGCTGATGCAATTCGGCGCGCGCACAAGGATTGCAAAAACAAAGATGCCGTCAATAGAGCGATCATATGTTCTTATTGACTGAGTGGGAGGGCCGGACGGGAAAATATTTGGCTCGAGGTTAGGACGAGCGCAGCGAGGTCCGTACATCCTGACCGACAGCCAAATAAGCATTTTATCGTATGACCACTTGGTGCTGACAATTTTGAAAATTCTGTTTGAACCTAAATATATATAGGTCGCGATTATATAACATCAGACGGCCGCGCGCGGAACAACTACAAAAAGATTTTACAATAAAAACTTGTCATTTGTTTTTCCGCGTCGAACAAGAAACTCACAATTCATCGAAAACACTACTCGTTTTCTCATTTTTGTTTTTCAGTGTAAGTCCTCAATTACAATTCATGCTAACGGGATTGGCTAACCTGTTTAAAAAAGCCAACAGAAAGTTGACATAAAGCTGCCAAAAATATGTCAAAACCATCAAAAACTTAGCGAGTGACAAAAGTTCGCTTCACGCTTCGCTGAAATTGTTCACAAATCTTCTTCATCTGAAGACTCAAGAAAATGTCGGCGTCGTTTCAAGCTATTTGTCGACCTCTTGGATTCTCTTGAACAAGGGAGAACCAGCAACTGAATATTAATGACACCGATGTTGGCTCCCGCAAACAGTACCTGGGTTTGCTGAGTTTGCAGGCTTTGTTGTGTAGTGGAAATTCAAGCGAGTTTTATCTTATCTGGATGAACTGTACGGTAAATCGGTAATGAACTTG